TATACGTCATTTGGTCCCTGATGGAGATTTATCTCATTAGCATGTTTACCACATCTTCTTATTCTAATATTGAGTCGACAACGCCATCGCACAATACGAAAAACGACCAAAAAGACAAACAACAGCATACATAACACAGCATAAAGATTGAGCAACATGAACTCCACCAAAAACCAGGGATGATCTCAAGAAGGCTAAGCAGATCCTGCTCCACCAGTGGCACCCTTCATTTTGCTCATGTAATTACAACCCCGCTGATAAGTTAAATTCGGTAAGTCACATTCGAGGAACAGAGGGCGGATATGGTAAAAACATTGCCTCGAGCATCATTGTGTAGCCATTACTTGCCGAAATGCGCATCTTGCACAGTAAAATTGGGACTGTACATATTATTGATACGCGCATATGGTGTTCTAAAAAATCGGTATTGTGTTTCTCGTACTTTGTGTACTCAGATTTGAATAAGGTGGTCTATTGTTGAATAAAGATAGGTTTTTGTATTAAATTCAATAAAAATAATAAGAAGAAGATGTGGAACTATTGCCAATTAGACATCCATCCACCAGAGTCGTAAACAGCTATGGGTCACCGTTCGGCCTTCAACAAAATGTCAAACCCATGCCATGAAACTAGAGACTTATGAAAAATGTTCATTGCAACTATCAACATCCTGAGATTTCTAATTCGAACTTTCATTTCACCATGAATTACAAAGAATCAAAACATTAAAAGCAAGAATGACCATTTAGAAACAGTGTATGCATTTTTTTGATAACCCTTTATTGCCATAAACATGATATAGAAAGGCACCGTCAAAACAATTTTTTATCATAAAGATGCACATTAAATCACCTGTACCGTCTTCCTACCTAGTTTCAGTTTTTCTAGAAAAAAATCATAGGTTGCTTCAAAGTTCAGTAGATTTCCAAAATGTCCTAGTTTATAAAACAATATATATTTGAGGACGATAGCAATATGACTTATCATTTAGGCCAGTATTCATGTGTAATTTAATACAATGTAGAACAATTTGAAATGTAAAAACTTCTAATTGAATGTTGATGTTCAATATTTTGTTTTACATATGGAATAACTTCATTATAACATGACAATCAAAATATGATAAAAATTATCAATTAAACGTTGAAATGTCAAGACAATGGAAAGTTTACATATAATGGAAATCTAACTTTAGATAAGTAATTGTAATAAAAGCAAATAATGTTTATATGTATGTTGTAAGCAATAAACAATAAACAAACACCGTCGAATTATCGTACAGGAACTACATGTATGTCTACATTAAAACCTTTCACCATCACTCATGATCAAAGCTATTTATCTAGTATAATTTGTTGTATTTTGTTTAACCACCTTTTTTAACTCAATTTTGTGATTTGAATTTTTTCAATCCAAAGGTACAACTTCAAATTTTATGTATAGTTTTTTTGTGTCATTAGAAAATTGTCAAAATTATGTTATCAAGCATTATAATAAATTAAACTTTCTTATCATAAGTGCCTTTGATATATACCTTATAAGATTGATTTTAACAGTTGTGTAATTCAATTTAATCATTAAAAGTTGAAACTTCAACGGTGTAAAATTATTAATTTTCATTAACAACTAGTACAATGATGTACATGTAATTATGCACTGCACGATTTAAGCATTTGCCACTAATTTACAAGTGACCATGAAACGTATTTCAAATTTTAGTCGTTGATTTATTTGTACTGATGTTGTATTTTTTCCTTTACGTACATATGCACTCATATTATTCAACTGAACTTACAAACAAAGAATGCGTTCACACTGCCCCTTTGTAGCATGTTTTATGTACAAAAGTTTATATTTTTGAATTAAAAACCAATCATCTGTGTGACAGTTAGTCACTTGTATGTAAACTTGTTTGTTTCTGATTATACTTCATATTTTAAGATAATTTTCAAATCACTAAAAAGGACTCCGATCACCGAGTGGTCTAATTAGTTCAACTGCTGTGAGATCGAGCCCCGAACGTGGCAGGTGCACTTGAATCTAATCGTATTGACTAGGCTAGTCAGTTTTCCTACCAAAGGTCGGTGGTTATTCCCGGGCACTTCGGCTTCCTCCACCAAGAAACACTCACCACCACGAAAAAGTTAACAGTGTTGAAAATGGTATTAAACACCAATCAATCAATCTTATCCTAAATGCCTCATTACTAGTCTGTTTGTGCAATTAAATGATAATTGTAAAAGTATGATACCAGTTCATACATAAAAATGGAGAGCCAATTAGATAAAAAGTCTTAGAAAATCAACACCAAAAAGGTTTTAACCTGAACAGCAAAATTTTTCAAGGTTACCAATGATTTTCATAATTTATAAACAGTAAATTAAGGAAGTATGATTTTAAAGTGGCACTAGCTACGATATATATAAAAATTATAAAATACGATTTTTTTTTGTTAAATCATTAATGAAAGTGTTATAGTGAAATAATATATCGCTTTTAGCAGCCAGTATAGTTCAATTTTGTCAAAATGAGCTAAGAAACATTGAGGATGAATTATTCACTTGCAAGTGAATAATTCGACCTCATTGAATTCGTATTCATGTGAACTTCAATTTAACCCCTTGGCTTGAGATGGATACTGCATGCATTGTGCGTGTTCAATTATTTAAAGGAAAAAAATGTCAACATTGAAAGTGAAACAAAGGTAAATCATTTGATTGACTGATTCGATCCACAAGAAATAATTCTTATACAGGTATAAACGATGATTTACATATATTTTTAATCTATAATATGAAGTTAAGCAGACCTAGAAAAATCCAAATGCACGATTCTGCTATCTATTTATATCTTTATTTATGTTTATATCGCTTATATGGCAATCGGAGGTCTTCGGGGGTCAACTTGACAGTTAATTAGATGGCGTCTAGACTAGAATACACACGAAACGAAGCTACATATTATCGAGCCCATCCCCGGAATATTGTTTATTTTAGACTTTTTATAATTTGGATAAATGTTTTACATTGTTATAAATCAAATATGAGAATTTAAGTCAAATCGATGAACATGAATTTGACAGCTAGTGTCCCTTTAACCATATCAATTATCAAAGCAATATCTACATTGTGTTACCCGGATCTGGTTTATACCTATGTTGGCTTATCAGTATCAGACAAATTAGGAATAAACAAGGTGTTCATTAGATTTCACAAGAAAAAAACTAGTTGATAACCATTTATGTTAAACTTGGTCAATTACATTGACTTAACACACTACTTCAACTCTGCTTTGTCGAGAAGTCAATTGAACTTGATTAGTTTATTGCACGAATTTCATTAATTTATTTGAAACTTTTCGTAACATTTATAATATTAAAGTCATATAAAACGAGTTTCTGTTAATTATAATGTTCAGGAAAATTAACAGAAAGTAGGACGGAGCGTTGTCAGATCCTTGTAAACCAAGTGTGGACACAGAGGTTGTATTTGAATCACAATGTGTTTGATGCCGTCCGTTTTGCAACCAACATAGAAAGAATAAAACTAATACATGTCTGAAACTGAAAACTGACTATAAGCCCGTCCATTCCTATTTTCTCAATAACATAATAGTTTTAAATAGGATTTACATATAGAAAAATCGACAAATATCCTTTAGGAACACATGAAACGTACGTAAGAATTTAGAATCAAAACATAAGGAATTAAGGCCGAAAGCACATAAACGTTAAGTATAGGTAGAAGGTAGTGATAATTAATAAACTAAATAACTTAATAAGAGCCTTCTGTATAGAACGTGATGCTGCTGAGTGATTATAAATAAGTTATTATCAAGATCTATAAAGTATCGTGCAAAGTTTACTAAATACAACCTGATGCAACATCTGTTTCATATCGTACGTGGTATACATGCAGAATCTGAAGTTCTATGAACAACTGCTAAATCATGTGATCACGGTAAACATGTTAATGATAAAACAATTTGATATAATTAATTAGAAACAAAATTGATATTCAAAACAAATCAATGCATATAAGCGAATTTCATGGAACTCTACGAACTCTTATTTAAATAATTACTATTGTATGCTTGAGAGCAGAACTTTTTGTCTTAAACCTAAATATAAGATTCGTTGCAAATCCTTCCCCTCCTCTACCAAGGCATTGTTATTTTGTTAAGGCCATTTTTGTTGTTGTGTCCCAAAACCTTTATATTTTGTAGTATTTGAAAAATGTTCGGTCTCGACAGTACCTGGTAAAAGTTATTTGAAAAATGCGTGGTATACATACGGGAAATCTTATGTTTATTAGTTTCTTATCATCACTGTTTAAGATATTATGAAATTTAATTATAATCATTAAACAATGATATTATTTTCAAGGAAACACGTACAAGTACATTTGCGGATCTGTTTTCAGTCCTTGAATAGTACATGTATGACGATATAAACAAAAATGACAGTTTTTCTCTTAGTACTTGTGTCAAGTTGTACCTCATTTATCATGCTATTTTTGAAATTTTATTTTAATTTAAAACATTAGCAAGTAAAACAAAATCCCCATTCTCGTCATTTTTGTGAAATAGGTGATTAACAGTTAAGTGTCTAGTATTGAGCATACAGTAGATTCATAATTAAACGGATTTATATTCCCTCATCAATTCTATTCGTTCAATTTTAAAAAATGTAATTTTTTCTGTGTATGCACAAAATATTACAATAAAATAAACTTTGTTAAATTCCTATTTCTCAAATAAACATCAGTTTCAAATTAAAAGTATGATTCTTTTAATTAAAATCTTTAATATCAATATTTGGAGATGCTATTTTTTTTATAATCCAAAATTATTTATATAAGAAAGTTATTTAAGAATTGTGATGACCATATATCAAAAAGTTCACTAAGAAATAGTTATCGTGTTTTATCGATACATTCACCTCTGTAAAAATGTTACAATCTTTCACATGTTATTATGTATATATTTACGACAATACAAGCATGTGGTTGACATTTGATTAAGACTGTCATTAGAGGCAACATACCAGATAGAGGTAAGGGAAGTCTTTGTATTTTATTAAGTGCTATGTGGAGGAGTCGTCTGTAGACGAAACGCTCGTCTGGTGTAAATAAGATTTTAAGCTTGGAGAATTGAATTGAATTGTTTCATATTTTTCAGGTCGGTGCCTTTTATATATAGATGATTACACGGTATGGGTTTTTCTCATTTTTGAATGCCGTACGGTTTCCTATAATTGCTAATATCCACTTCATTCAAATTTTGGTAGATAGTTGTCTCATTGACAATCATACTACATCTCCTAATGTTATATTGATTAGAGTTTAAGGATTCTTTGTTTTTATATTTCATTGAACGTTCAGAACTGCGAGCATTCTATGAAATTGTATAAGAATTCTCATAATTGCAGATGTTCTTTGGTAGAGAACTTGAACTGGATCGATTTATATCGCGCATTTGTCTTTGTGCTTTTTCTTAGTTTACAGAACGATAAAATGGAGTAGTCACGAAACTAGCTCTACTTCCCAAGTGTCTATCCAAAGACAGAAAGGAAAATTTTCAGTGATTGCTTTTGTAGATATCAATGTTTATTTTATGTAAAGAAGTTGATTTCAAATTTCAAGTTGAATTTGTTCAAAAGTTTTTGATGCACGATGAGACATTACGTATAAAGTTAAGGACTACATTGAGGACAGAATGTTAGGCTATTGGGCTATTGACAAGATTTACTTTTTAACTTACCATACTACATCCTTTTATTCAGGTGTAATGAATGTAACTTGTGTTTACAAATCCTAAACATCACAGGTTTTTAAAGATACTCAAAAATTTTCACTTGTTATCTAAAGTGCAAGCCAAGAAGGAACTTTATTGAGGAAATGAAAGATTTTCTCTAAAAAAAAAATAATCTAAAGGTCAGTCAAATATTTTATTGTGAAATGTCGCATTTACCATACAGAGTTCTTTACATCTACGTTTTGAATTTTTTCTATCCATCTTTCTTAATTCAATTTTTTTATTTGATTTTCTTATGCAACGGTTAAACCTTAAATTTGATGTAATTGTTATGTGTATTATAATATTACAAATTTGTCAAAATGATGTAATCAAGCATAACAATAAATCAAAATTGATGCAGCAACTTTCTGATCACAAGTACATTTGATATATACCCTAGAAGATTATTTTTGACAGTTTAAGATATTATGTTTTGATTCCAACTTAAGTAAGTTTATTAATATTGAATGATTGTGTAATTCATTTTCAACATTAGAATTTGAAACTTTAATGATGTAAAATGATTATTTTTTCATTTAAAACTAGTACAATAATGTACATGTAATTATGCATTACACGAATTAATTAAGCGTTTGTCACTAATTGACAAGTGACTATGAAACGTGTTTCAAATCTAAGTTGTTGATTTATGTATACTGATGTTGTATTTTTTTATTACGTACAGACGCACTCATAATTTATTCAACTGTACGTTCGATTTAAGACTGTGTTCACACTGCCTTTTGTGAACATGAATTTAGATTTTTGAAAAAATAAACCATTCAATTGTTTGACAGGCACTCGATTCTATATTCAAAGGCTTATTAACACTTTCCAAGTTTTTTTTCAAATCTAATGCATTAATTTCAAACTTGGTTAGCCTCAGTGTAAATATAAAAATAAGGAGATGTGGTATGATTGCCAATGAGACAACTATTACCAAAGTTCAAATGAAGTGGATGTAAGCATTTAAAGGGAATCGCGCGGCCTTCAACAATGAGAAAAAACCCATACCGTGTAGTAGATTATAAAAGGTTCCGACATGATCAATATGAAAAACATTGAGAAAACTAACCGCCTAATTCATATGAAAACAATTACCATTAAAACGTTTAAACCCGCTGCATTTGTTTGCAACTGTCCTAAGTCAGGAATCTGATGTTCAGTAGTTGTCGTTTGTTGATGTGGTTCATAAGTGTTTCTCGTTTCTCGTTTTTTATATAGATTAGACCATTGGTTTTCCCGTTTGAATGGTTTTACACTAGTAATTTTTGGGGCCCTTTATAGCTTACTGTTCGGTGTGAGCCGTGTTGAAGACCGTACTTTGACCTATAATAGTTAACTTTTATAAATTTTGACTTGGATGGAGAGTTGTCTCATTGGCACTCATACCACATCTTCTTATATCTACAGACTTGAACCAACAACAACCACTGAACTACAGACTCTTGACTCGGGACAGGAACATAAAGAATGTGGTGGGGTTAAACATGTTTCTGAGCACTCAATCCTTCCCCTAACATGGGACACAACATAGAAACAAACTATAAATATCATTTGAAAGGGGCTTAACTCATCAGGTCGATACAAAGCAAAAAATCATCTAACAGACCGGACGTGGCAGTGTATTTATTTATATCCCTAACAACAAGAAAGACACAAATTACAGATCTGAGAGAACTCACAGTTACTGGCAGCTAGTCCAAAGCAGATAACAACTAATAAAAAAATCATGTGTCTAAGACTAAAATATCAATAAGTACATATCCAACATCCAATGGATTTAGTGTAAATACTTCATTAACAGCCAGAGAAAAACATGACCTTGTGCAATGCAAAAATACAGGTATCGGCAGATTGTAGTACCGTTAAAGTGTATATGTGCATAACAATATTTTATGTTTAGTTTAAATTTACTGATTGCAAAATCAATATTGATACCAATAAAACAATATTCAAAGATCTTCTTACATTGTTGAAGTGGTAATCTTTTATAATAAGTTTATTCACAGGATTGACAATTTACACGGATTGTATCTTGATTTCCGGGCTCGGTAAACACTGTACTCGGCCTTAGCCTATCATACAAAAATTAATTTTTTTTCACGATTTTTCAGTCTGGTTTTACTCCATGATTTTAAATCTGTTTCTAATCATTAAAAATGCCTGATAACTAGACTTTTTGTGCAATTAAATGATATCTTGAAAAGTATGATACCATTACAAGCGGAAACAAATCGTGATTCTGGTATAACCTTTATCGGATATTTTCGAGATTTAAAAAAATTGGAAACCCAAATAAAATATGTAGTTTAAGAAAATAAAAACCCCAAAACGCTTAAACGAAAACATACAAAATCTTTCAATGTTAACAATGATTTTCATAATTTATAAACAGTACACTAAGCAAGTATCATTTTAATCAAATAATTAACGAAGCATTTGCTACTTTGTGTTTCCTGGGTCTGGTTTATACTTGCTTTGGTAGATAATGAAATTTACATAAAAACATATTTATAATGTTTATTTTATATGTGTTATATTGGCTCATCAACATCATTATGACTTGAAATCAACATAGTGTTCAATAGGTTTCAAAAATTAGATAATATCTGACATAACTTATAACCATATAATTGTACTTGATGCATAAATTGACTTAATACATTACTAAACTTTGTTTTGTCAAGAAGTCAATTGAACTTTGATATTCATCTTCATGTGTCTTACTATACATCATACGCATTGCACGAATTTCATTATTTAATTTGAATAACTTGTCATAACATTTATAATATTAAAGTCAAATGAAACGAGTTTTTTGTAATTACAATGTTCATAAAAATTCACAGAAAGTAGAACTGGACGATGTCAGATCCTTGTAAGCCATGTGTTGACTCAATGATTGTACTTCAATCAGATTGCGTTTTATGCTTTTCTTATTCCAAACTTTTGTTTAAAACACTACTGATAATGAATTAAAGGTTTAAAATAACGCATTTATGCTGCATCAAATTAACTTCGACAACTTGTAAGGCGAACATATTTTTATTTTTTTGATGGAAAGTTTCCATTTTAAAAGGTGAAACCGTGGGTTGTGCACACGTTCCGGAAAGTCTGTGAATAATAGGGTGGTTCATCGCTGGGGTTACATTTTCATGGTTATTCGTCCTTTCTTGCATTCGATATTTTAATGACTTCACGCGATAACGTGTGACCCAATAGAATCGTTTATCAAATATGGAATAATACATGATAATTGCTTTTCGTCTTTCTTAAGGATATAGGCGAGTGACATTTTTTTCGAAAAGCCTCTAAGTTAACGACGTTAATGCACCCACCTAACATACGGCTATACTATATATCATTTGTAAGCTTTTTACCTGTACTTTCTGTTTTGTCCAGTCGTCAATAATTCGTACGGTGCAATTTCTGTTACAAGGTCAAACATAAAAAAAAAAAAAAAAATCCTAAATATTGCATATATTATGAAAAATGACCTTGTCTTGTTCTTTTATAATATAAATGGATCATTTGATGACATTTTACAGAACATGTATAGAGACGTTTTCTTTTCTTTTCTGTAAAGTTTAGTGAAGGGTTGACAGAATCCTTCCGCTCAACTGTTGGAGTGAAGCAAGGGTGCATTTTAAACCCTACATTGTTCTCACTTTATATTAATGACTTAGTTACCATATTTGATAGCTCCTGTGATTTTTCCATATACGTTTATGAAAATATATCGTGCTTGTTTCATGCAGATGACCTTGTGTTAATTTCTGAAACAGAGTCTGGGTCACAACGATGTTTAGACAAAATCAACACTTGCTGTGATTAGTGGAATTTAACTGTAAATCTAATCAAAACTAATGTTATGAATTTTAATAAGCCAGGTAAAGTTCTTAAAAATTACAACTTTAAATCTAATGATTTGACCAATGAATATGAATAGTTAGGTATTAAATTTAAGCCTTCAGGAATTTTCTCTTATGCGGTTAATCATCTGTGTGAAAAAGATTCAAATGCAATGTTTTGCACCAGAAAACTTTTATTTTCTGATAAACTTTACATTTATCCACATTTAAAACTGTTTGAAAGTTGTTTGAAACCTATACTACTTTATTGCAGTTAAATATTGGCATTTGATATGATAGTTAAAGACAATCCAAGTTTTGTAATGTAGATACATATCATTTTTGCCATTAAAATTTCAAATATCTTGTTGGTTTAATATAGCTGCAGTTAACACAGCAGTTT